GTGTTGTGATCCAGAGGGGAAATGCCTGCAACATTCTGGGCATGCAGCCCACCACCGGGGGAGCTGGACAAAGTATTCGAGATGTAGCTCTGAGTTACCTATGTTGTTTTACTTTCTATTGTATTTTTGTGAATGTTTTGTCAATGTATTTTGTCTTTAAATATATTATACATTAAATAAACGGAGTGGTAGGAGAAAATTCTCAAACAGCTTCAGGGAGAACCTTGAGTTTTCCCTGAAGCAAGTTTTTCTTTTCTCTGAGGATGAGGGTCCCCAGGACAGTTCTAGAGGTGGTCCCTCTCTCTCTCTCTCTCTCTCTCTCTCTCTGTATATATATATATAATATATATTTTATATATATATATATATATATATATATTTTATATATATATAATTATATATATATATATATATATTTTTTTTTTTTTCAACAAGTCGGCCGTCTCCCACCGAGGCAGGGTGACCCAAAAAAAAGAAAGAAAATCCCCAAAAAGAAAATACTTTCATCATCATTCAACACTTTCACCACACTCACACATTATCACTGCTTTTGCAGAGGTGCTCAGAATACAACAGTTTAGAAGCATATACGTATAAAGATACACAACATATCCCTCCAAACTGCCAATATCCCAAACCCCTCCTTTAAAGTGCAGGCATTGTACTTCTCATTTCCAGGACTCAAGTCCGACTATATGAAAATAACCGTTTTCCCTGAATCCCTTCACTAAATATTACCCTGCTCACACTCCAACAGATCGTCAGGTCCCAAGTATCATTCGTCTCCATTCACTCCTATCTATCACGCCCACGCACGCCCGCTGGAAGTCCAAGCCCCTCGCTCACAAAACCTCCTTTACCCCCTCTTTCCAACCCTTTCGAGGACGACCCCTACCCCTCTTTCCTTCCCCTATAGATTTATATGCTTTCCATGTCATTCTACTTTGATCCATTCTCTCTAAATGACCAAACCACCTCAACAACCCCTCTTCTGCCCTCTGACTAATGCTTTTATTAACTCCACACCTTCTCCTAATTTCCACACTCCGAATTTTCTGCATCATATTTACACCACACATTGCCCTTAAACAGGACATCTCCACTGCCTCCAACCGTCTCCTCGCTGCTGCATTTACCACCCAAGCTTCACATCCATATAAGAGTGTTGGTACTACTATACTTTCATACATTCCCTTCTTTGCCTCCATAGATAACGTTTTTTGACTCCACATATACCTCAACGCACCACTCACCTTTTTTCCCTCATCAATTCTATGATTAACCTCATCCTTCATAAATCCATCCGCCGACACGTCAACTCCCAAGTATCTGAAAACATTCACTTCTTCCATACTCCTCCTCCCCAATTTGATATCCATTTTTTCTTTATCTAAATCATTTGATACCCTCATCACCTTACTCTTTTCTATGTTCACTTTCAACTTTCTACCTTTACACACATTCTCAAACTCATCCACTAACCTTTGCAATTTTTCTTAAGAATCTCCCATAAGCACAGTATCATCTGCAAAAGTAACTGTGTCAATTCCCATTTTGAATTTGATTCCCCATAATTTAATCCCACCCTCTCCCGAACACCCTAGCATTTACTTCTTTTACAACCCCATCCATAAATATATTAAACAACCATGGTGACATTACACATCCCTGTCTAAGACCTACTTTTACCGGGAAGTATTCTCCCTCTCTTCTACACACCCTAACCTGGGCCTCACTATCCTCATAAAAGCTCTTTACAGCATTTAGTAACTTACCACCTATTCCATAAACTTGCAACATCTGCCACATTGCTCCTCTATCCACTCTAGCATATGCCTTTTCTAAATCCATAAATGAAATAAAACTTCCCTACCTTTATCTAAATACTGTTCACATATATGTTTTCAATGAAAACACTTGATCTACACACCCCCTACCCACTCTGAAGCCTCCTTGCTCATCCGCAATTCTACATTCTGTCTTACCTCTAATTCTTTCAATTATAACTCTACCGTATACTTTTCCTGGTATACTCAGTAAACTTATTCCTCTATTAATTTTTACAATCTCTTTTGTCCCCTTTCCCTTTATATAAAGGGACTATACATGCTCTCTGCCAATCCCTAGGTACCTTCCCCTCTTTCATACATTTATTAAACAAAAGTACCAACCACTCCAACACTATATCCCCCCCTGCTTTTAACATTTCTGTCATGATCCCATTTAGTTCCAGCTGCTTTACCCCCCTTTCATTCTACGTAATGCCTCACGTACCTCCACCACACTTACATTACGCTCTTCTTCACTCCTAAAAGATGGTACATATATATATATATAGATATATATATATATATATATTATATATATATAATATATATAATATATTATATATATAATAATATATATATATATAGCAAGGAATTCGCAAGAGCAGGCGAAATATACACAAACACTGATCTCTGTCTGAAGGAGACTCGAACTACGAACCTTAGCACAAGGTACGCATGCTTTACCAATCTACCCACACTGGACAATACCTTGGCGTGCAACTTGCGTTACACGTTGAGAGGAGGAGGGAGGAGGTACTACCCTAGAACTGTCCTGGGACCCTCATCCTAAGAAAAAAAACTTGCTTCAGGGAAAGTCTTCTCCCTGAAAGCTGGCTGCCTTGGATCAACGTGTAACGCAGTGCACGCCAAGGTATTGTCCAGTGTGGGTAGATTGGTAAAGCACTGCATACCTTGTGCCAAGGTTCGTAGTTCGAGTCTCCTTCAGCCAGTGATCAGTGGTTATATATATATATATATATATATATATATATATATATATATATTATATAGTGTATATATATATATATATATATATATATATATATATATTATATATATTATATATATATATATATAATATATATTATATATATATATATAATATATATAAATATATATATATATATATATATATATATATATATATATATATATATAATATATATATATATATATATAATGCAAACAACCACTGTGAAAGAATAGACCTGTCTAGTTAGGCCAGCGGGCCTGCTGCAGCGTTCCTTTTCTTATGAGTCGCGCATCAGGCGTTGCTTGTTGTGGGATGCGATAGTGAAGTGTGGTCTAGACCATTTATATGCCTTCCTTTCATGCATTGCTTTCATTGTTCCTTGATAATGTGAGTAGTCACGAAAGCGCTTGGAATTTCTCTTTCTTTCACAGTGGTTGTTTTGCATATTCTGAAATCACCTGTTTACTGTGATCTCATTGCATATATATATATATAATATATATATATATATATATATATATATATATATATATATTTTATATATATATATATATATATATATAATATATATAAAACGCAAACCTCTGCACTTTCTCCAATTTCATGTTCTTTAATAGGAGTGAGTTCCATACTGGTGCTGCACACTCCAATACAGACTGTGTATGTGTTAATATTACATAAATAAATTCAATTATTATTAGGCAATGGGTACAAGATGGAATAGCAACGTGTTAGTGAGGATGATGCTGGTGGAAGCAGCTGTGCTGACAACACACTGCCTGGAGCTGTCCACGCACCTGCCCCAGCAGCACCAACAGCTCCTGCAGGATGGAGACTCGGCCCAGCAGCACTACCAACAGCTACTGCAGGAGGAAAACTCGGCCCAGCAGCACTACCAACAGCTACTGCAGGAGGGAGACTCGGCCCACCTCAACCTTCATGTTTCAGAACACCTGATCCCCCTGGATGAAAATTCTTTACACGAAGCTGAAATGGCGGAAATTACAACCACAGAAAGTTCCCTTGAACAATCAGAAGAAACTTATAATTCTACCGACAAAGCTAAAATGTCAAATTATAACACCACCCTTGTTAGGGAAGATGTTAGATCACGGGATGTTAATTCTACACACAAAGTTAAAATATTAGAAAACATTGATACAATGGAAGCAGAACAAGATATAAACAAGTCTATGAATGTTAAAACGAATATAATCGGACAAAATAAAGATAATAGCATAAACATAACAGTACCAATAAAAATTATAGATGATGATAATATAAACAAAACAGAACTATATAAGAACATTCCAAGCTATAATGAACCAGAGATGGAGAGTGGGATCCTGTCTCTATCAAAGAATAACAAGATAAAGAGCGGTGACAACACCGCCACTGTCCTCACGGACATCCGTGATGCACTGTACAGAGAGGACACCAAATGTGATCAAGCTTTCAGAGACAGTATTGAACAAGAACTACACTACTTGAGAGATAGCAGCGAGGACGCCTTTGGCACGATGTCCACCAACTTCGAAAGATTAAGAGAAAACATGGACCAAAAAATAGGTCTTATATTAGAGACGTTTTCCACGTTGAAGTTGTTGGTTATGAGCCAGGGAAGCCAGTTGACAGCAATGCAGGAGAAGCTGCAGGGAGTCCAGGAACACACACAAAACTTCCAGGTACAGATAGATGGACTCCAGCTATCACTGGTAGAGGTCGAGAGTAAGTTAAGAACTGACACACCTCAGACAGTCTCTTATTACAGTGACAACATCCTGACGGAGGAGGACATCCTACAGCCACAAGTAAACATCACTCACTTCGATGACAAGATTCAAGACACCAAATCTTCTCTGGACGATCTCACATCAAAAGTAAAAGATTTCAATGATGCTGTAAAATCCTTAAGGGACGAACTAGATAACTTGAAAATGAATATCACCGGGCGTCCTACTAGTGCAATACTCAACACGAAGAAAGATGCTACTGACTCCACAACATGTCACTGCATCAGTGATGAACGTAGACATTCATTAGTAAAACTGGAAGAAGTTCAGGAGAAGCAGAAGACTGAACTTAATATACTTACCATGAAAATGTCAGCGTTGGAGAGCAAGCAGGGTGAGGCTGGGAACAAGAACTGGAGCTACACTCAACGTGTGGGCGAAGTAGAGGCCACCTCCTTCAATGACCTGACCTCTGTCACCAGGAAGGTCACCGCCCTCCAGGAAGAACTGAACAACTTGACGCAGGTGATGGCCACGACCACCGCTGGAGCTACTCACACTAACAATACTACGACAGAAGACGTCGCTCTGGAGGGTAAGATAATAGTTTTTATTAATTTTATTATCAGACAGTGTTACTGACAAGTTGACAGCGATATTCTAGTTATATATGGTATTTTGTCTCATGTAATAATTATATTTAACTACACTGCTGCCGCTACTACCTATCATTCACTCACATGACATACCTGGAGAGTAAAACGTTGCCACATGTTACATTCGGTTGCATCTTCGTCCAGTTACCTAACACTATATCATACTTAAGTTTCACATATTTAAAATTAATCTTTATTTCAACAAATAGGAATAAAAATTGTATTTAGAAAATATATACCTGCCGTAAATCCGGTTTTAGTTATACATAGACTGTCAGGTGCGTCCAATACCATGGAACTAAGGTCGATCTATTTCGTAATTATTTTATTTTTATTTTTTTTGTAAGATTCCTTTCATTTTTTAAATAAACATATATGTTCTATGATCATATAAAAGTCTCAGTAAGATCGGCCTGCACAAATTAATAAAAAAATATTTATATTCTGAATACTGAATTTGGCAGCCTCCCTTAACGTGCTGGCACTGCTAAGAGTGTGTTTGGCACAGTTAAGAGTGTTTCGCACTGTTAAGAGTGTGTTTGGCATTGTTAAGAGTGTGTTTGGCATTGTTAAGAGTGTGTTCGGCACTGTTAAGAGTGTGTTTGATACTGTTAAGAGTGTGTTTGGCACTGTTAAGAGTGTGTTTGGCACTGTTAAGAGTGTGTTTGGCACTGTTAAGGGTGTGTTTGGCACTGTTAAGAGTGTGTTTGGGACTGGTAAGAGTGTGTTTGGCACTGTTAAGAGTGTGTTTGGCACTCCCTACTGGTGAAACACTGTTAAGAGTGTGTTTAGGCACTGTTAAGAGTGTGTTTGGGACTGTTAAGAGTGTGTTTGGCACTGTTAAGAGTGTGTTTGGCACTCCCTATGTACATAACCAACCTGTTAATGAGTGTTTATCACTGTAGAGTGTTTTACACAGTTAGAGTGTCTTTGGCACTGTTAAGTATGTTTGCACGTTTAACCAGCCTTATGTATACTACATCCTACCAACCATGAGTATACTACCAGACCTGATGTATACTACCAGCCCTGACTTATACTACCAGTCTGACGTATACTACCAGCTCTTATGTATACTACCAGCCTGACGTATACTACCAGCCTGACGTATACTACCAGCACTGACGTATACTACCAGCCCTGACGTATACTTCCATCCCTGACGCCTATATATGCCTCTCTTTTGACCATTGAGATGTTTTAATCTATTGTTCATCCATTTGGGATCATTGTTGTTAGATCTTATTTCCCTACTCGGAACAAAAGTTGTCTGGGCAGCTAGAACTATGCTCTGAAAAACGTCATATTGGCAACCAACACCACCTACCTGACCCATAGTCAGGACATCCCAATTTAGCCCACCCAGGTAATTTTTCAATCCCATGAAGTCGGCCAAGCGAAAATCTGGGACTGATTGTTTGCCATTTCCCGGGTCTGTTTGACTCTTCCAACCCAGCGCTTCTCTCCTGAAATAAATAATAAAATAAAATAATAAAATCTATTTTTTTTTTCGTGTGTGTGAGAAGTTTGCAGTTTTTCCAGGAGAATAATTACATTGTTTATCTTCCCATCTCACTGTCTATGGCTCACATCACCAACTGCTGCTCACTTAACAAGTTTCTCCAGACAGCTCTTGATCACTCAGGCTGTGATACTAAAGTTCGACTGCACATTGCCAACACTGATAACCTGACTACTCAGGAAATCAACCAAGAGGCCTGGTCCGAGATCAGGCAGCAGGGGTAATGACCCCGGGAACCATCAACATATTACCAACATATCCCAACATATACCGACTATCCCACTAGGATAATTTTTTCATGTTACAGGCGTGTGTGTGTGGCCATATCGTCGTGGCGGTGGTGGTTGCTATCATGTTAGCAGGGAGGAGCGTCTGACCTGGCAGGATGCTCGGGCACACTGTCACAGCCTCCAGGGAGACCTCGCTGCCCCACTACACTACAGCCAGTTCAAGCATTTCATTCTTAAGCTCAGACGTAAGTTATCTCAAGACCGGGATATATGTCTCTCACTCGGGCAGTGATGTGGGTTCCTATCGCTCACTCAGACAATGGTGTATACCTGGAGTATACCTGGAGAGGGTGTCTGGGGTCAACGCCCCCACGGCTCGGTCTGAGACAAGGTCTCGTGGTGGATCAGGGTCTGATCAACTAGGCTGTTACTGCTTTTCGAACGTAAACTGACGTACGAACAAAGCCTGGCTGGTCAAGTACTGACTTTAGGTGCCTGTCCAGTGCCTTCTTGAGAGCAGCCAGGGGTCTATTGGTAATCCCCCTTATGTATGCTGGGAGGCAGCTGAACAGTTTTGGGCCCCTGACACTTATTGTGTTGTCTCTCAGTGTACTCGTGGCGCCCCTGCTTTTCATTAGTGGAATGTTGCATCTCCTGCCGAGTCTTTTGCTTTCATAGGGAGTGATTTTCTTGTGCAAGTTTGGTACTAATCCCTCTAGGATTTTCCAAGTGTATATTATCATGTATCTCTCTCGCCTGCGTTCCAAGGAATACAAATCAAGGGATTTCAACCGTTCCTAGTAATTTAGGTGCCTTATCGTACTTATGTGTGCCGTGGAAGTTCTTGGTGCACTCTCCAGGTCAGCAATTTCGCCTGCCTTCAAGGGGGCAGTTAGTGTACAGCAGTATTTCAGCCTAGAGAGAACAAGCAATTTGAAGAGAATCATCATGGGCTTGGCATCCCTAGTTTTGAAGGTTCTCATTATCCATCTTATCACTTTAATAGCAGATGCGGTAGATACGTTGTTGTGGTCTTTGAAGGCGAGATCCTCTGACATTATCACTCCCAGGTTCTTCACATTACTTTTTCGCTCTTTTGTATGTTTAGAATTTGTTGTATACCCTGATACAGTTTTAATTTCCTCAAGTTTTCCATATCTGAGTAGCTGACATTTCTCTTCATTGAACTTCATATTGTTTTGAGTAGCCCATTCGAAGATTTGGTTGATGTCCACTTGGAGTCTTGTGGTGCCTTCGATGGAGGACACTGTCATGGCAATTCAGGTGTCATCCGCAAAGGAAGACACAGAGCTATAACTTACATCTCTGTCTATGTCAGAAATGAGGATGAGGAATAGGACGGGAGCGAGTACTGTGCCTTGTGGAACAGAGCTTTTCACTGTAGCTGCCTCGAACTTTACTCTGTTTACTATTACTCTTTGTGTTCTATTTGTCAGGAAGTTATAGATCCATCTACCAACTTTTCCTGTTATTCCTTTATCACGCATTTTGTGTGCTATTACACCATGGTCACACTTGTCGAAAGTTTTTGCAAAGTCTGCATCTGCATTTTGTTTATCGTCTACAGCATCCAGGACCTTGTCATATTTGGATTAAGACGCTTAGTTTTGAGTATAATAATAATTAGAATTAAGATCCGTGTCAGGACGCAGTTCCTGACGAATCAGTTAATCTTTCAATATCTCTGTATTAGGACTCAAGAAGTCACTCGTGGTGAAACGTTTACCTGGAATTTACCTTGAGAAGGTTTCGGGGGTCAACGCCCCCGCGGCCCGGTCTGAGACCAGGCCTCATGGTGGATCAGAGTCTGATCAACCAGGCTGTTACTGCTGGCCTCACACAAGCTGACGTACGAACCACAGCTCGGTTGGTCAGGTACTGACTTTAGGTGCCTGTCCAGTGCCGTCTTGAAGACAGGCAGGGGTCTATTGGCAATCCCCCTTATGTATGTTGGGAGGCAATTGAACAGTCTTGGACCCCGGACACTTACTGTGTTGTCTCTCAGTGTACTCGAGGCGCCCCTGCTTCTCATCGGGGTAATGTTGCATCTCCTGCCGAGTCTTTTGCTTTCATATGGAGTGATTTTCGTGAGTGATTTTCGTTTCCTATAATAAACGTAATAATGTTGGTAGAATTACCGACAATATGTAAAGTAAAAGGACACAAGTGCAACTAATGTGACATTTTTATTGTGGCAACGTTTCGCTCTCCAGGAGCTTTGTCAAGCTCCTGGAGAGCGAAACGTTGCCACAATAAAAATGTCACATTAGCTGCACTTGTGTCCTTTTACTTTACATAATAAATGTCCTGAACTGTACATGAGTTTTTTTTTTCCACATCTTGTCGGTATCACCATACCATTTCTTATACCTTTTTCAGTTAGCCGAACTTACACCTACTGGATAGGTGCCTCAACTGCTGGCAAAGATGAGGAGTGGAAGTGGTTAGATGGACGTCCCGTGAGGTGGGAGGTGTGGGGCAGCAGCCAACCTCAGCCTCTCTACTCCCAGTGTCTAGCACTCAAACCTGCGTACAAGTTTGTGGTGTCAGCGGAAGGATGTGGGGAAAGTAGGTTCTACATCTGCCAGCAAGAGAGATTATTGTGATAGTACATTCTTCTGGTTCATTCTCAACGAAACTAAATTTCTTATCGTGATTAATGTTAAGATTATTTTTATCTATTAGCAATAATTATTTATGGTACTTTTTATTTATTTGAAACATGCTATGTAGTATATACTGTGTATAAATCTTCCCCAAGTTTTTACTTTTATATTTATAAAATAAATGCCAGTTTTAATTGGGAGTCAAATACTTTCCATTTGTTTTTATTCAACAAATGTTGACAGGACAAGAAGAGAGGAGTCAGAAAATTTGAGGATGGCGTACAGTAATATTATTACAACTGTACGAGTGGTAGATGTTACATATAATATCAGTGTTTACAGATGATACAAAACTAGTGATGTAAATACAAATATAAGGTGACTGCAAGAAACTACAAGATACATACGTGTAATACAGACATGTAGTATGGTAATGCTTACGAGGCTTCAATACTTGCAGTTATATGTACAAAGTATGATGTTGGTCACAGGAAAACACACCAGAGACAAGGTACTGCTGCCCATGGCAGAGACAATACACAAAGTATTGCTGGGCATGGGAGAGACAATACACAAAGTATTGTTGGGTATGGGAGAGACAATAGACAAAGTATTGCTGGGCATGGGAGAGACAATAGACAAGATACTGCTGGGTATGGGAGAGACAATACACAAAGTATTGCTGGGCGTGGGAGAGACAATAGACAAAGTATTGCTGGGCATGGGAGAAACAAGAGACAAAATATTGCTGGGCATGGGAGAGACAATAGATAAAGTATTGTTGGGCATGGGAGACACAATAACAAAGTATTGTTGGGCATGGGAAAGACAATAGACAAAGTATTGCTGGGCATGGGAGAGACAATAGAGAAGGTACTGCTGGGCATGGGAGAGACAAGGTACTGCTGGATATGGGAGAAACAAGAGACAAGGTACTGCTGGAATGGAGCAGACAGTACTGCTGAAGGAGAAACAAGAGACAAGGTACTGCTGGACATGGGAGAAACAAGAGACAAGGTACTGCTGACTGGACAACAAACTACTGGGACATGGAAAACAAGAGACAAGGTACGGCTGGAACATGGGAGAAACAAGAAACAAGGTACTGCTGGACATGGGAGAAACAAGAGACAAGGTACTGCTGGACATGGGAGAAACAAGAGACAAGGTACTGCTGGACATGGGAGAAACAAGAGACAAGGTACTGCTGGACATGGAAGAGACAAGAGACAAGGTACTGCTGAACATGGGAGAAACAAGAAACAAGGTACTGCTGGACATGGGAGACAAGAGACAAGGTACTGCTGGACATGGAAGAGACAAGAGACAAGGTACTGCTGAACATGGGAGAGTCAAGAAACAAAGTATTGCTGCACATGGGAGAGACAAGAAACAAGGTACTGCTGAACCTGGGAGAGACAAGAGACAAAGTATTGCTGAACAAGGGAGAGACAAGAAACAAAGTATTGTTGGACATGGGAGAGACAAGAAACAAAGTATTGCTGGACATGGGAGAGACAAGAAACAAAGTATTGCTGGACATGGGAGATACAAGAAACAAGGTGCTGCTGGACATGGGAGAGACAAGAAACAAGGTACTGCTGAACATGATAGAGACAAGAAACAAGGTACTACTGAACATGGGAGAGACAAGAAATAAGGTATTGCTGAACATGGGAGAGACAACAAACAAGGTACTGCTGAACATGATAGAGACAAGAAACAAGGTACTACTGAACATGGGAGAGACAAGAAACAAGGTACTGCTGAACATGGGAGAGACAAGAAACAAGGTACTGCTGAACATGGGAGAGACAAGAAACAAGGTACTGCTGAACATGGGAGAATGGAGACCAGGAATTAATACAAATTTAGTTAATAAAATAATCAGTGAGCCCACAACAAACTCATCACTCAGGTTGGGTTTAAAAATTATATATCAGGTAAGTGCTAGATTCATGGTAATCATACAGAGGCTGGGTGATGGGAGGCAACCAAGTTTGCATATAGGAAGGAGAGGGGTAGCTCCAAACCCTTTGATCAAGCTCTCTTTTAAGTAAGTAAGTAAGTAAGTAAGTAAATTTATTCAGGTATACACAATACAGTTACATAGAATTATCATACATAGCAGCATATGTGTAGAGAACCTAGGATAACCCAAAAAAGTCAGACAGAGTGACTTATTTCCATTGGGGTCCTTTTACCTTATTATTATAATATAAAGGTTATAATATTTTCTTATTATTCTATAATGAAGATAACATCTTATTATCATACTAAAAAGACTATCTACTACACGAGGGTCATTAAGACTATCTACAATACGAGGGTCATTAAGACTATCTACTACCCGAGGGTCATTACGACTATCTACAATACGAGGGTCATTACTAGGGATAAGGTAAAATTTACACGTATTTTAGCTAAAAAATAGAAAATCATTCCCCTCCCTTTCTGTTGCTTCATTCATCAGACACTTTTTGGCACTCTTCTTGAACTGGTTCATGCTATGACTGGCTTTGACATGTGCGGGTAGTCTGTTCCATTCCTTTATTGCTGTACAATAAAAGGTGTTTGAAGCCTGGCCACTGACTGTGGGTACTACAAAGTTGTGCTCTCTCCCCCTAGTACTATGATTGCTGCGGTTCCCAACCTTGACAAAATTGACAGCAAGATATTCTGGACACTGTTCGTGAGCAATTTTATAAACATGATTTAGCTTCAGTTGTTTTACTCTGTCTTCAACATTCAGCATATCCAACTGCTGTAATTCATCCTGGCCTACATGTTCTCTTGGTCCCAGCCCCAGGATGAATCTTACGATTTTGTTCTGGGTGATTTGCAGTCTATCTTTCAGTTTTTTTGTCAAGGCAGAGCAGGGCTGGGCTTAAGAAACAGTTGCTAAATACAAGGAAGGAGGGAAAATGAATCCCTTCAGAGAAACCCAAAAAACCTTCATCAAAAAGAAAAAAAAAATTTTGGGAAAATCAAAAAGAATTAAAAAAAGGGGAAAAACCGTATATCTAGTGGGAAAGGGACAACCCCATCAAAGGTTCATCAACCAGAGCAAAAGGAAAAAAAAACCCAAAAACAAATGAAAAAAAGACAAAAAAGGAAACCGACTATTACATTTAAAAGTTTTTTTAAATTTAGAATGATAAACAGGAGGGGAAAAATTTAAAAAAAAGGTTTTCATGCAGCACAAGTCCCGAAATGGTCTGTTCTCGGAAACCCAAGAACTGAAGCCTTTGGCTTCTGCGATGGATACCAATATTTCGGCATCGTGACCAGAAACCTTTGCAGAGAAAAAGGGGTTTTTGTAAATGGTTTTGCCAAAACGAAAAGGGTTTTTGTGGCCTCCCGGGTTCAACCGCCGACCCTTTGAAACGTGACGGGGGAACTCTGGCTAAGTCGGTCCCCCCAGCCTGAAATACCTAATTTCGGGCCCTTTTTTTATTAAAATCAAAATAAAAGGGAACTGTAAACCCACGGGGGAAATTTTTCGGGTTTAGGCATACCTTTTGGTACGGGGGTCTGCAATTAAAGCGCCTCTGATCGACGATTAATGAAATGAAAGAAGTCGGGGTGTTCCAACCCGGCTTGCGTAGTGTTTGAAATCTCGTTAAAGTGTTGAAGGATTTGCTTTTTCAGGAGGAAAATAGGGGGCTGAAGCTTCACCTAGATGGGTTTTGGGGAATGAGGGGAGATGGAGGAGCGGGAAAGGGAGGAAAGGCACCAGGGTGGAGGGGCAGCCACTTTTAAGTGGTAAGGGGGTTCACAATTCGAAAAGGGAGTTGGGAAGGGTTAATAAGAGATTGAATTTTAGGAAATCGACTCCTGTTCCCGGACAGTGTACCAGTGGAGTGGGGTTTTTAAAGGGACCACTGACCCCCTGCTAATAAAGGTAAGAATATTCTGATTGTGTCAATTCTCGGTAGATATAGGATCGTCTTTTTTTTAACTAAAAAGGGAAAGGGTCAACAGAGGGTGGCCCCCGGGAGCTGGTGTTGGTGAAAAAACCCAGCGGGTTGGAAAATTTGGCTGGGGTAATGACTTTGGGGAAAGGGGCAGGAGCGGGAGCACTGATAAGTAAGGTCACCAAATGAAGTAGTCAGCTAAAGGGGGATCCTAATCAATGTACCATCATGCTAGAAGGGAGGGGGCAATGAAGGTGTCTAGGCAACGGGAAAATTGTTGGCTAACGGGTACTGCAAGGAACTTGCAATCCCTTTCCCGATAACCGGGACAAATCAGGGCAAACGTGAAGAAAGCAAGGGATGGGGTTTCATCCTCTCCCGGTTTTGGAGTGCTGCATTACCCAAAATTCGACTGAGGGTAATTGATGATTTCTAGGACTTTAACTGAAAGATTAAAGATTGGGTGTTTTTGGGGAAACAATCAACTCAGCGGGGGTTGAAAACGCAATATTTAGGATGCTTCGGGAAAAGTTAAAAACAATTTTTCAGAGTAAAGTTGCTAGAAAAAGCAAAGAAACTGATCAAAAAAGAGAGATAGTTAGGCAACAATGACTAGCCCCGAAAGGGTTAACTTACAAATATTGCTAAAAAATTGAAAAGTAAAGCAAACCCCCAGAAAGTCTGGAACAACAAAACAGTTGGGTATACCAAAACCCAGTAGAAGGCAACATATATCACTACGATAATGAGGTAGCCACAAAACCTAAGGGGAAAATTGCTTTAATTCCCTACTACACATTGTTGCATCAACACTAGAAAGTAAACTACCAGCGCAAAAATACCTTTTAACACAGACGCTAAATTTTTTCAAACAACTAACCAATAAAGGGTAACCCCAAACAGTTGTCAACTAGTAAGTGTATCTCATGACTTTATTTTAAAAAGAAATAACAGGGAAAAACCCAAAAAGGACAGGCCCTGATAACCCCCCGTCTAATTCCTAAAAGAGGCTCTGACGCAACCCTATTGCTCACATAATAAATTATCAATCACCACTAAAACCCAAGGCCCGATACTCCCAACTTCAAGAAAAATAGTAGGTCGAGTCACAAATATAGGCCTGTTTAGTAAATCTATAAATCCAAAATTCTAGGAGGGGGGGTACTCTCAAAGTTAAGTACCTAATGACAAAAACATTCTTTAACTATCATCGGCTTTAGAAAATCTTTCCCCCCCTTTAAGGGGGGGGCCTTGGGGTGGGGAAGAGGCTCTTGGGCTAGGAAATTTGACCGTCGGGGTTTCCCCCC